TTCCAAGTATTCAACTTTAGAGACCTATTTTTCTAATAGAACTAATACACCCAAAGAAAATAAAATGAAAAGGACTGAAAAGTAATGGATTTGCTAATAGTACGTTCTGCATAGATTCAATTATTTCTATTCTAATTTTAGATTCAGTTTCCCTCTTCAAAATGCTTCTATAAATAGTATGCTGATTTTTATTTCTTATCTGTTCAGGACCGATAAACTTACCTCGGCGACTTAACTCTGGCTTCTATTATGCTCATTCAGATGATATAACCATTGCAGCATTGGAGAAAGTAGTGAGGCATGCAGTTAATTCCAATCTCTCGGAACAGCCAAGCTTCTATGACACATTATGTGGGGAAGGTGGGTCTCACCGTTTAGGTGATGACAGATGCTTTGAACCCGAAACAAATTTGACAGTATATTTCTTGAACAGAGACCTGTTTCCTAATGGTGCATACCAAGGTCTGTGGGAGGAAATAAACGTGAAGGAAGCCTGTACGACTAAGGGTTGTTATATTCTCCATAACAACTGGATTAGTGGAAGGAGGAAGAAGATGGAACGACAGGTGTTGTCAGGGCTATGGGAGTACGATATTAGCACTAGAATGTGTCTTCAAAGCTGGCCTAGGACTATGTTCACAAGTTATTTTTAAAACGGGATAGATTCTTTTCTATATTTGATCATGGGTAGCTTTGTTTTTCACGTTATGGAGGAGAATTCGAAGAATTATATTTTGTCAGATATACTTTTACCTACAAAGCTTTGGATTTATCACTGGTTATATATGAGATGATGCTAAAACAGCCGGCTAAAAAACGGCAAAATTTGGTTAGTAAGTTTTATATTCTTCATCCACGCCAGTTCAAAACTCTTTCTGTGTCGGACCATTATGCTTACAACTGTATTAAGATATTCTAGTTGCCAGCAATGCTGAAGAGACGTGTTCTTGTTTTAGGACTCGTTCGGCGTTAGTCAGTTAATCCAGGAGAAAGGAAGAGTAGAGGAGACAATCTCATTTAGCGTAGGTTCACATCTAAAGAATACTACTCTAAGGATAGTTCATGCTGGCGGGAGAATTGCGCTCCATCAACATGCAATTCCTGCATCTGAAATGATTCAAAGATATCTTGGAATGTGTATAGTGCGGCCTAATATCTTCGAGTGCCCCCATGAATCTGTTTTATCTGCTGAAGATATGTTGTTGCCGGGCAACAAATACATTATCATTCGGTCTACAACTGTAGAGAAATTGAAACACAGACACTCGCGGAAGGGAATGTAAATCGACAAGTTGATAGTGATGAGCCTATCTTAGATTTTAAAGAAATTAAAGATGTTGGAGATAATTATTCAGAAGAATCTATTTGTTCTGCTATAGACTTCTATACCTCTGAAGACAATTGGTCTATTTGTTTTCTGAAAAAGCGCATGAAAGAAAAGAAGCCATTTGTAACCCCAATCCAGAGGCTAAGAATGTGGAAGGAATCCGATTGGGAGCCGAGTGTAACTTCAATACAGGAGCTATCTCCATGACTATCCCTGTTCTGGCTTCTTGACGCACTTTTACTCCTACCATCATCTGGTCCGTAGATTTCTCTGTGCTCATTATATCTTTGAGAAAGAGATTGTTAAGATTGTCATCCACTCTTTTTATGTCCTTTGCATAGCCTTAAGAAGTCGATTAAAAGATCCTAGAACGAGTTGCCTATGTTCTATGAATTGGTATGTCCATTTACTAAAATTTCCTTTTTAAATTGTAGATATTTCCATAATAATTATCTGCTCGAAAACATGAATTCTAAATCAATTACACGGTCCTATGATCCTATGTTGGAATAGGTGCAATTGTGTTCCATTTTGGGATCTTTGTGTTCTTCTCAATGCCTGAGAAGTTATCTAATCTTTATCATGTATTTTAAGCAGCCAATGGCATAGGTGGAGTGCTGCTCTGTTTGCCATCAGTGATTGTAAGATGTACTAATATAATGATGAATGAAATGTACCCAAGAAAAAAAGAAAAAGTTAGTATGCTGTTAAAAAATATGATGTCCTATGAAGTTGAAGCAGATAAAATGAACCTTGGCATCCTTGTTTACAATCTCATAATCTACTTACAATTTAAGACAATACTGGGATTTGAGTTTAAATTAATAAAATAAAACTTCCCTCTGAGATACTATAACCAGATTCGGAAATATTGTGACAAATAAGTCACTGTTGTTGAAAAACCATTCCAATCTAATCAAAATCCACGAAGTTTGGATGTGATCTTCTAATGTACTCTCAGAAAATGAATGATAAAAGCTTGTTCAAGATCCATGTGTAAATCGCAGCAGACGTGAACCAGCTAGAATTGTCAAAACCCAAGAAGTGACAATCTCCCTCACTGTTTCTGCTCTTACACTGTCAAGTCCTCCAGCAAAACCCAACCCCCATTACGGCTCCAACTCTAGAGTATGGTGGCCAAGATGGGGAGTCCTAGCTTTGATGCAACCAACAAAATAGAAGCAGCCGCAAATCCTCTAGTTTGTGTCAAAATCAGACAGTGTCAGGTTCTCGCAAGTTGTAGAACCTAATTATTGTCAATCCTAATTAATACCGCTTCGGAGGTGGTCACGAATTGAAAAGAGAGAAAGAGAGGTTAGAGAAGTTATGAGTGCAGTTTTTTTTTATATACCTTTTTTTTTTTTTAATAATATTGAATTATTGTAGTGAAGGAAGATGACGTAATCTCACAATTGATAGCCATTATAAAGAGAAATTGGTGGAAAATGATGTTTTGAATAGAGATTTTTTAGCAGAATTTTGCTATTTGAGCATTAAAATGGTATATGAGCGAATACTGAAAATGACAAGAAGGAAAAAATTGAATGAAAATGTTGATTGTGTTTTAAATCGAAAAATGGTAGAATGTCATGTGAACATTACGTAATTCCCTGTGTAAATCTTAATATACATGTAGCAAGATCATTTTTAGAGAATTTATAGTTAAAAGGTATGAAAAAGTTTCGAGTTTACGT